TCCGTCTTGTTTTTTCCTCAATTGACTAAACAGCCAAGGCTTTCTTGGAAAATTTTTACTCGCTCACCAAACAGAAACTTAATTTGAATATGAACTCCTGTTTTTACTTTCACACAATCTTCAACGTCTGAAACCACATTATGAAAAGAGTTAACATAAGGTTTCTTCGTATCTCTTGGCGACAGTCTTGGCTTATGCAATCATGTATGGCGGTGGCATTTTATTTACCTTCATGATTGGCCCGTGGCTTCACCTGTGGGCGTCTGTGCAAATCATCAAATAGTACATTAGCTCTCTAGCCCCACCTAGTGGATTCGGCGGTTCACTGGAGTCAAATTTGCTTTGTGGTTTATATCTTGCATTGCATCAAGTCTGTGTGGTTTTGTTTGTCACGCCATTTCCAAAGCAAAATAAACGACCTCATTTGTTAAAAAGCCTCACGAAAAACTGCACGGTACATGACAATTAACTTAGGTAACAGCGAAGGATATTCTAAATTGTTCTCAGTTTGATGACAAAAGCCAGATAAGGATCTTTGTGCGTGAGTGAATGCTGAATTCAGTGGGTGAGGGATGCTCAGAAGGGTAGGTTGTTCACAACGGGGAAATGATTAGAGCCACGCTGGCACGTGGTTAAAGAGACGATTCAGTGTTAATGTGTTAGTTTAGCTATTTATTTAGCGTACCCATGCTAAGCATGTCTTGTAGTACTTTTAAGCAACAAAAATGCATCATGCTGAGTGGGGATACCATTTTGTGAAAAAAACATTCATATCCACGAGAGAGTGCTGTATACTTAAGAAAAAAACATGAAATAGCCAATGTAAATAATAAACATTTGATCTCAAAAGTTTAGTATTTTTTGCTTTTATTTACTTCGTGCCGATTCACGATTCTGACCCCAGATGTCTGCAGTGGTTTAGATGTTGTTCTGGATTCCTTTGAGACATCATGGATCAGCTGTCGGGAGACGTCAGTGAATGTTCTTGAATTTCTTCAGAACAGGTCGTAGTGTGCTGCTTCTTGGCATCTTTTGGCCCACTTCATCCAGTCAGACCGATTCCGTTTAAAAGACGTCTTGATTCGACACCTCAGAGGGTGTGCTTAATCACAATTAGTTCATATGCCGCGGTATTCTGATTTAAATAATCTGAAACATGCACGTGTGACCTGAGAGCAAAAAATGAATCTGCAAGGGAGAAGATGTTGTTTTACAGTACTGCAAAGGTTAAATCAATTTGCATAGTGTACAGTCTGTAAAAAAAAAAAAAAAAGAGAGAGAGAGACAAATAGGGAAGACATGATACGCAGCACGCATCACCTTCACACTTCACAGGCCTTGCATGAGATTTTGATGGCGAGATAATCTCTGAAGATAGCACCGATACGTCCCATGTGGTTTCACGCAGCAACACAAACGATGTTGCCTCTGCTGTTGCTAAGAAAGGCAAAATAGATGTCACACCCGATAAGAGCTTATGAGAACAGGTTTCAGTCAGAGCACAGGTGCCTTTAGGTGAACAGGTTATGGGTGTAATTTAAAGAAGAAGAAAAAAGATTCCATTAAAGCAAAAAAGTGTATGACATGAAAATTTCAAGGACTGTAACTTTAGAACAAAACTTGACCTCTTTCTTGTTTTATTACTTAAGGACAGCAGTTATCATTACCCAAAAAATAAATAAATAAATAAATAAATAAAGCTTCGGGTAACTCATGCTTTTGGTATTTGGTACCAAGACAGTATGTGACTAACAACACGAATGGATTAAGAAGGTGGGGAAACTGTTTGTACCATGTAATGACAATATTCACAGAGTGCACCGATTCTTGCATATAACTGCAGACAGAGATAAGATCTGCGACGCCCTCTTTATGGTTTCTTTGTAGGTCATCGGATATAAAGCTCTTCGTCAGAAAAAAGTACTCACCTTGGATTACCGAACCCACTTCTTTGTTTTTGTCTAACTTTTTCTTTTTTTTCTCCATCTTCAAGATTCTCACAGACACAATCCCGCAACACGGAGTTTATGTTCTCTTGTTTAAACAAATAAAAAAATATATATATTATTGAGATTTTATGATAAAGATCAACACAAAGCGCAAGGAAAACGATTTATTTCTTTGTTTTGTTAAGAAAGAAATCTGGAAAGTGTTGTGGGGATGTGCGTCTAGCCCAGTTTACCTCACACCTATAAAAACAATCAAGTGCAACCAACTGCCTGTAAAAGTCACTTAACTACGGAGTCCGTACATGTGCAATTTAATTGAATCCATCTGATCTGTGAAGTTTACTGGAGAACTTTAGTGAACTAACATCTTTAAAAGACCAACAAACACAGCAGACAGATGGTGAAAAAAGCTGAAGAATACGTCTTCTGAACACCTCAAGCTCAGAAATATGAAGAACGTTTTTTTTTTTTTGGAAAAAACATAAGGTTTTTATTCAGGAGAATAAAAGCCTTTTATTCTCCAGGAGAATAAAGGTTTTTATTAATAAGGTTTTTATTTTCCAGGAGAGAATAAATGTTTTCTACAAATTTCTACAGGAGACAGTAGAAATTTGGGGGGGACAGTTATTGTCCCCCAACTGGACAATTACTAAAATCAACTTACCGTAAAACTGGGACTTTCAAATATCATTTGATTTTAGTTTATTTTATTTATGAAATACATCATTAGGATTTAGGGGGGAAAAAAAAGACAAATTAGCCTAACCATTGAAGATTTATAAGTACTTGTGAAAAAAAAATTAATGATATGAAAAAACACCTTTATGCTAACTTTGACAAAAAAAAGATTGGTCAAAATGAAATTCCGGGCTGAATCAAAGTAAACTGTGCTCAGTGTTGCTTATTTCCTTTTTTTAGAAAATGTTATATCCTCCACTAAGCTTTGCTTCCCTCTCTGACTCAGATGACTATTATTCAGACAGACAGACAGACAGACAGACAGACCGATAGATAACAGAGAAAAAGCAACAGTGCACATCGAAATGAAATACCATCCCCCGAAGCAAAACATGGAGGTAGTAGCCATGTGATGCTGTGGGGATGCTTTTCTTCAACAGAGACAGGGAAGCTGGTCAATGTGGATGATGAGATGGATGGAGCAAAATATGAAAACCATTTAGGAGCTGCAAAGGATTTGAAACAGAGCAGAAGGCTCACCTTGGAACTCAGAGCAAATGGTATTTATCTATTAAAATGGACAAAAACCATTTATCCCTTTTTCTTCTGCTTCAAAATGACACTCTATTTTCTTTTGGTTAGCTTTAACATAAAATAAATTAAAGTTTGCATTTCCAGCGTAACAAAAAGTGAAACCATTCTGCGGATGCGATGTGAAATAAAAAAAGAAAACAGAAATTAAAAAAAGTTTCTGAACTCACTGCTTTTGATCTGACTTTAAAACAAAGCAAATGCTCAGACAATCTTTGAAATTAGGTCCTCATTAGCGGACCCATTCACTTCGACAGCCTCTTCAGGTTTTCCCCTCGCTTTCTAGTTATTCCAGTAATACCTCACCGTGTCGCCTTACGCCCCCCCTCCTACTCTCCCCTACTCCCCTCACCCCAAAGGTCATGAGAACCCAAGAAGAAATAACTGCAGTTTCAGGACGAGCCAGACGTTTCCTCATGTGGGTGTGAATCTGAGGCTACACCAACATCCCGTCGGTTTCCTTGCACATTTAATGGCAAAATAACAAGAGGACAAAATAAAATTATTTACAACACGTACGGTTTGTTACATGTAAACACAATCTTCTGTACAAAGAAATATACATGCAAAAGTAAAAATGAGTCATAGTGAGACATTCAAGATGACATTGCTGCAGTCTTGTTTGTAGATGTATTCAAAATATGACAGGTTTACATCCCGGGCGCCGGGCAAACCGCCCGACCCTCTCTGTACAACTTTACATTAAAAGTTGACTTTGTTTCTCAAAGGCTCTTCAGCACTTCAGTCAGGTCCTCTGGTGAGGTGGCTTTGAGAGAATCTGATTAAAGTGAGTAACAAGCACGTGTTTAAGAAATCGCGACCGACGCGTATAAATAATAATACTAATTAAAAAAAAAAACAGTCACACAAAATGAGAGACTCCACAGACCAACAAGTGTCAACTTATTTTACAGTAAAGCAAATGATCCGACGGTAACGCTCACGACCTTCAAATGTGACGATAAACGATGCCCTTTTTTTAGTCTCTCCATCATTCTAAGGTTCTCTCACTCACCTGGCACTTTTGAAAATAAAGATCTCCATAACATCCACACTCAAAGATGTTAAATAATTTGAATTAAAAAAAAAACAACAAAACAGAAAAACTGGCATTAGGGGCATATTCAAAAGAAAAAAAAAAGTTATTTTTTTCTAAAATCTGGAATGCAGAGTATTTTGTTTTTGCTTGACCTATTGCTTGTTGATGATGTAAAAAAAAAGTGTTTCTATAAGATTGAATGGGAATGCAATAAAATAAAATAAAAATATTGAGAAGGGGGAAAGAAATACTACTAGCTATTCCGGAGAGAACAAACTCACAGCAAACTACTTTGTGCACAGCTTGAAATCAGACAGGTGAAATCTGTTTTCAGCAAAAAAAAAAAAAAAAAAAAACACCAAACAAAACCTCTTTACATTAAGAATAAATAAATCCACACCGAACTTTTGTAAACACTCACATTTCAGTGTGGACCGATATAACTTAACATGAATAACTTGAAATTAAAAAAAGGACATAAAACTGCAGGGAAACAAAGCATAGCCAACTTTGGTATAGTTACAGAAAATAATAATAATAATAATAAAAAAACAAAACATTACAAGGACAAAATGAAAGCATAAGTGTCCGTATTTCATAGATACATGTCTCTATACATTGTTTCTGAAATCCCTCTGTTTTGTCTAGGAGGTTTTGCAGATATTAATACTGAACTTAATACATAAGAGTTAACACAATACAGACATCTATTGCAGTACCAGGTACACACATGCCTTTTTTTGTTTAAGAATACGGCTACAACACAAGTCTTCATAAATAGTTGCATACATGGTAAAGCTGCAACATTGCACATGAGAACTGATGCAGAACAACGAGTGCATTTTCTAGCAGCTGTCTCTGTTCAACGTGAGGATCCAGCCACCATTTAGAGTCCTGCAAGGACTCACTACAGCTCTGCACACAAAATAGCGTTGTTGTTTTTTTTGTTTGTTTGTTTGTTTTGTTGTAAATTCATTTGAGATAAACTCTTGAGGGACTGCGGAGGGAGAGAGGGGGAGGGGGACAAAAAGGGACAACCTTGTAAAGCAGGAAAAAGATTATTTACAACTAAGGCGGATGCAGCTGGAGATCCGGGAAAGCTTTGCTGACTATAACGCTTGTTCAAGTTGTGTTCTTGTCTAGGTTACAATCCGAAAAGACTGGCTGAAATGAAGCGGGGTGATAAAGATAAGCAAAAACTATTGCACAAACGGTAGCTTTAACGTATCTCTGGAAAACAGGATTTTGGTAGTTTCTACCTTGCGTCAGAACCGACGAGACCCTTCGCGTCCGCATTCCCCTTCTTGCTTTCGTTTTCCAAAAACCGCCGAATTAAGACAGTTCTCCATTTTCCCCGACTGTACACGATTTCATTTACAAAAAGTAATCTCTCGTTACAAAAAAAAGTCCTCTTTAGTTTAACCGAAAGCAGCCTGAATTGTTCTTAATATACAGTACTCTATTTTCTTTAACACTGTCCAAACGTGAGATTTACTCGTCTCACGTCAGATCGCTCAGAAAGCTCGTTTCTTTCTGTGTTTTTTTTTTTTTTTTTCTCCCTGCTGAGTCAAAGTTTGAAATCTCAAATCGATTCCGTCAGGTCATTTGTTGTGCCGGCATAGCGAAAATATGCCAAGGTAAGAATAGGCTGTGGGAGTTTATCATTCAGTCAGTCAGCAGCAGCAGCAGCAGCAGCAGCAGCAGCAGGACTTCTGTGGCTTAGTGAAGGAGAAAGAGTTCATAGTGGACTGGCCCCCCTGGTGGTCTTCTATCAGATTTGACCGCTCTGTCAGGTGTGGTTGTAAAGTCGGCTGTGGAGGAAGGCCTGAATGGCGCCAACGGGCCGGACGTCATTCTGGTGTTTCCGCCGCTCGATGAAGGAGATGAGCCTGGAGGTGTCCAGATGTGTGCCGTAGTGACTCGGCGACGGAGGCTGCATGTGATTCACGTGGCCATACCCGCCGCTGGCTACGCCCCGGGGCTGGAGCCACGGGTACTGCAGGCAGAACCCAGCAGAGGGCCGTCGCTCCAGCTCGCCCTGGAGGAGCAGGCAGACAAAGTCCTTGGCTTCTGTGCTCACGCCCTGGAAGTAGTCCTCGGGGAAGCTGAAGTCCAGCCGACAGATGTTCAAACACGTCTCCTCCAGGCTTTCGTCCAGGAAGGGAGAGGCGCCGCTCAGGAGAACGTAGGTCACCACGCCTGCAAAAACATTCGGTAGACAGGCGTATGCTGACAGTTGTTTTTTTGTTTGTTTGTTTTTTACAAAGAAATTTGCCTTAAATTCATTGCACTGTTTTATTCCATTTGATGCACAAAGCCTGTTAATTGCAAGTCCTTTAAATTACATGTAACCAAAAGTCTTTTGTTGTATGTAATAATATTGCTGAACATTGTGATAATGGTATACCTTGTAAAAATTGAAATGAAATAAAAAATAATTAATTGTGTGTAATTTTGATTTTTTTTTGTGTTTTTTTTTGTAAAGTACGTTGAGGCAACAGTTATTTTGAGCTCACAAAATTTAATACACTGAATTCAATTGAATACAGAAATGTTTCTTTCTTTCGGAGCAAACATACTGGAAACAACAGGAAAAATAATTAGTTAAAAATTTCCATCTCAAGATGCAAATGCTTATCCTAATAAGTTGTCCTGTGTGTGATAAAGCCGCATCATTGCAGAAATCAATCAATTATGATATATGTAAGGGGGAACTAAAGGGCAAAAGATGCAAATCATGTCCTCGGCTGAACGTGTCTACTGACCTAAGCTCCAGAGGTCAGACGTCAGAGAGACAGGCTGACCCAGGACCAGCTCAGGTGCAGAGAACTCCGGGCTCCCCAGCAGGGGATGGATGTGAGAGGAATGAGGGTCCAGTTGAACAGCGTCACCAAAATCAGTCAGCTTGATCACTGGCTGGGAGCACACCTGCTCCACCACGATGTTTTCAGGCTGCAATAGGGGAAGGAAGGATCAGGGTAAATCCTTAGCAGGAGGATTTTTGCCAGATTTGAACTATTTTTAGTGTTTCTTTGAATATACTTATGACTAGTTTATGGGTATGTAAAAAAAACAACAAAAAAAACAACTAACTTGAGAAATGTGCAAGTAAAGTAAAGATCGCCCACTTACTTTGAGATCAAGGTGTGCTACCTTCCAGCCGTGCAAGTACTGGAGAGCTTCGAGGATATCTCGGAGGTATAAAGCCACCTTCTCCTCAGTCAGGTTCCCCCAGCTCACGATGTAGTCCAGGAAGCGACCCTGGTCAGCCCTGACAGCGGACAAAAACACGTCATCGGTCACATTATCATCAGCTTATACATTAAACCGAGGTAAATACACAGTACTTACATCTCCAGTACAAGGACGTAGCTGTGGGCTGTCTCGTAGGTGTCCAGCAGTCTGACCAGGTTTGGATGGTCCAGAGTCTGGAGGAGTCGGATCTCCTGCAGCACCTGCTCTCGACACAGCAGCTTCTTGTTGACGTGTTTTGCTGCGATGGTGCGTTTACTGCCTCTCTGGTCACAACGCTTGGTCACTGAGAATCGCCCCCTGGAAAAACAAAACAAAAAAAAACAAAAAAACTGAGGAGAGTCACTGCGATGTTTAATAATACGTTTGCACTGACTCTGATGCGGCGGAATAGGTTCGCGATGCTGGCTTACCTTCCAAGCTCAGTGATCTCTGTGAAGTAAGACTCAAAACTACTTTTCCAGATGTCTTCGCTGCCGTTATTAGGAGCTGCAGAAGACATTCACGTACAGTTTTTAGACTCTGTCAGTTACGAAACGCTGTAAAAAAAACAAAACAAAACAAAACAAAACAAAACAAAAAGAAACTCAGTGAAACATTGAACCACGACGCAAGTCTCACCTGACACCGTGAGGCCGGCGGAGGAGGTGACGGTGCCCGCTACGTTGGTGGCCACACACGTGTAGACGCCGCTGTCCTCGAGAGACACTCGCAGGACATGCAGGGATGCCTCTCCTGTCTCACTGCGGTGACCCAGAGTCAAAGGGCAGCAGAGCATGAGGCACGCTTCGGACATCAGAACACGCTGACCTGAGGCGGGGTCGTACCTGTACGTGACGCTGTAGTGTCCGTTGTTGCTCAGAATGCTATTGTCGGGTCCACGCCATGAGACGGCGGCGCGAGGTCGGCCACACACCTTACACCTCAGGGTGACGCTGTCGCCACTCTCACATGACGCGTCGCTGAGAGGGATGAGGAACTCCGGGGGGGCTGCATGAAAACAAGAGGTATTTTGTGTTGCCTTTATCTATTCATTTTTTTTTTATAAACGGATTGAATTAAATCAGCTTACCATCGTAGATGAAGTTGGGATTCAGAAGCTGAATGGAAAGGAGATAGATCGAGTTCAAATATATATTAAAAAAAAAAAAACAGTGGCAGAGAGTGAATTGATTTGAGCACCGTTGTTCTCCTTCTGCTTCTTACCTTGACAGAGACCTTGTTAGCCAGGCCGTCCTGGGACTTGCGGTAGCCGTTTTCCAATTTCCTGCCATCTTTATCTCTTTTTTCAGACTTTCGACGGATACGCAGCGCAGTGTGCCATGACAGGGATTTTCTATGCCAAAAAAAGGACACAATGTTGAGAATGTTTTCATTTTAAAGATTTGAAAAGGTGTTTGCTTAATAGGCTGTCACAAGTAGAGCTATTGGTTGCCATGACAAAACAAAACAACAACAACAAAAAAAAACTGGCCATGTGAAAGTATAACTGAGAAAAGACTCAAAGCTGGCAATTTTTAGTTTTGGAGAATTTTCATTTTTTTAGATAAGCATTGTTACAAAGGAAGTATTTGCTGACTGCCCTGAATGTAGCTGGGAAACGCTGTGATACCGTTGCCTAATCTCCATGATTGTCAATGTAATTTTTATTTTGTATTTCACTTAGTATTTATTTACTCAGACACGATTACAAGTCAGTATGAAACCTTGGAGAAAATGGCCACAAAATTCTGATTGGTGCGTCACTCGTCAGGTGCTTTTCACATCCTGTTTATACCAAACAAACAAACAAAAAAAAAAAAATCTCTTACTTGATGGTTCCTTCAGGGAGGTCGGGTGTGGTGGAGGATGAGGTATGTCCCAACACGTAGCCAGGGATCCAGCCTTCAGCCGCTGGGGAGTGCTCGTTGGCGGCCCGGTACACCAAGAACATGTTCTGCTGGTTGCTGGCGAGCATTTGGACCACCTCACCCTGCACCACGCTGATCTCATCCTCCTTCACCGCCACATAGTCCTGGGTCACCAACATGGTGGACACACTGCTGCTGCTGCTACTGCTTTCACTCTGCTGGAGAAGAGGATCGTGGAACTTAGCGCACAACTAAACACTCCTGAGAGTAAAACGATGTTGAAATGAAAACATTTGTCAAAGGAAAGTTGGTCAATAAGCCATCGAATGTGTGGTTTTTATTGATGGAAACAGTTTATTGAATGCATGCGGCTACAACGGCATTGCAAAATCCCTTTCTTTTTTTCCAAAAGAAAAAATAAAATTAAATCTTGCAATTGCACGGATGTTATCATTCAAAGCGAGGTTCGACAAGTCACGACACAGAAGTGGTGATCCTCAGGTGAGAGGCGCTGAAATGTTCAAATGTTTTTTTTTTTTTTTTNTCACCAAACAATACCTCTTTACATTAAGAATAAATAAATCCACACCGAACTTTTGTAAACACTCACATTTCAGTGTGGACCGATATAACTTAACATGAATAACTTGAAATTAAAAAAGGACATAAAACTGCAGGGAAACAAAGCATAGCCAACTTTGGTATAGTTACAGAAAATAATAATAATAATAATAAAAAAACAAAACATTACAAGGACAAAATGAAAGCATAAGTGTCCGTATTTCATAGATACATGTCTCTATACATTGTTTCTGAAATCCCTCTTTTTTGTCTAGGAGGTTTTGCAGATATTAATACTGAACTTAATACATAAGAGTTAACACAATACAGACATCTATTGCAGTACCAGGTACACACATGCCTTTTTTTTTTTAAGAATACGGCTACAACACAAGTCTTCATAAATAGTTGCATACATGGTAAAGCTGCAACATTGCACATGAGAACTGATGCAGAACAACGAGTGCATTTTCTAGCAGCTGTCTCTGTTCAACGTGAGGATCCAGCCACCATTTAGAGTCCTGCAAGGACTCACTACAGCTCTGCACACAAAATAGCGTTGTTGTTTTTTTTGTTTGTTTGTTTGTTTTGTTGTAAATTCATTTGAGATAAACTCTTGAGGGACTGCGGAGGGAGAGAGGGGGAGGGGGACAAAAAGGGACAACCTTGTAAAGCAGGAAAAAGATTATTTACAACTAAGGCGGATGCAGCTGGAGATCCGGGAAAGCTTTGCTGACTATAACGCTTGTTCAAGTTGTGTTCTTGTCTAGGTTACAATCCGAAAAGACTGGCTGAAATGAATCGGGGTGATAAAGATAAGCAAAAACTATTGCACAAACGGTAGCTTTAACGTATCTCTGGAAAACAGGATTTTGGTAGTTTCTACCTTGCGTCAGAACCGACGAGACCCTTCGCGTCCGCATTCCCCTTCTTGCTTTCGTTTTCCAAAAACCGCCGAATTAAGACAGTTCTCCATTTTCCCCGACTGTACACGATTTCATTTACAAAAAGTAATCTCTCGTTACAAAAAAAAGTCCTCTTTAGTTTAACCGAAAGCAGCCTGAATTGTTCTTAATATACAGTACTCTATTTTCTTTAACACTGTCCAAACGTGAGATTTACTCGTCTCACGTCAGATCGCTCAGAAAGCTCGTTTCTTTCTGTGTTTTTTTTTTTTTTTTTCTCCCTGCTGAGTCAAAGTTTGAAATCTCAAATCGATTCCGTCAGGTCATTTGTTGTGCCGGCATAGCGAAAATATGCCAAGGTAAGAATAGGCTGTGGGAGTTTATCATTCAGTCAGTCAGCAGCAGCAGCAGCAGCAGCAGCAGCAGCAGGACTTCTGTGGCTTAGTGAAGGAGAAAGAGTTCATAGTGGACTGGCCCCCCTGGTGGTCTTCTATCAGATTTGACCGCTCTGTCAGGTGTGGTTGTAAAGTCGGCTGTGGAGGAAGGCCTGAATGGCGCCAACGGGCCGGACGTCATTCTGGTGTTTCCGCCGCTCGATGAAGGAGATGAGCCTGGAGGTGTCCAGATGTGTGCCGTAGTGACTCGGCGACGGAGGCTGCATGTGATTCACGTGGCCATACCCGCCGCTGGCTACGCCCCGGGGCTGGAGCCACGGGTACTGCAGGCAGAACCCAGCAGAGGGCCGTCGCTCCAGCTCGCCCTGGAGGAGCAGGCAGACAAAGTCCTTGGCTTCTGTGCTCACGCCCTGGAAGTAGTCCTCGGGGAAGCTGAAGTCCAGCCGACAGATGTTCAAACACGTCTCCTCCAGGCTTTCGTCCAGGAAGGGAGAGGCGCCGCTCAGGAGAACGTAGGTCACCACGCCTGCAAAAACATTCGGTAGACAGGCGTATGCTGACAGTTGTTTTTTTGTTTGTTTGTTTTTTACAAAGAAATTTGCCTTAAATTCATTGCACTGTTTTATTCCATTTGATGCACAAAGCCTGTTAATTGCAAGTCCTTTAAATTACATGTAACCAAAAGTCTTTTGTTGTATGTAATAATATTGCTGAACATTGTGATAATGGTATACCTTGTAAAAATTGAAATGAAATAAAAAATAATTAATTGTGTGTAATTTTGATTTTTTTTTGTGTTTTTTTTTGTAAAGTACGTTGAGGCAACAGTTATTTTGAGCTCACAAAATTTAATACACTGAATTCAATTGAATACAGAAATGTTTCTTTCTTTCGGAGCAAACATACTGGAAACAACAGGAAAAATAATTAGTTAAAAATTTCCATCTCAAGATGCAAATGCTTATCCTAATAAGTTGTCCTGTGTGTGATAAAGCCGCATCATTGCAGAAATCAATCAATTATGATATATGTAAGGGGGAACTAAAGGGCAAAAGATGCAAATCATGTCCTCGGCTGAACGTGTCTACTGACCTAAGCTCCAGAGGTCAGACGTCAGAGAGACAGGCTGACCCAGGACCAGCTCAGGTGCAGAGAACTCCGGGCTCCCCAGCAGGGGATGGATGTGAGAGGAATGAGGGTCCAGTTGAACAGCGTCACCAAAATCAGTCAGCTTGATCACCGGCTGGGAGCACACCTGCTCCACCACGATGTTTTCAGGCTGCAATAGGGGAAGGAAGGAACAGGGTAAATCCTTAACAGCAGGAGGATTTTTGCCAGATTTGAACTATTTTTAGTGTTTCTTTGAATATACTTATGACTAGTTTATGGGTATGTAAAAAAACAAACAAACAACTAACTTGAGAAATGTGCAAGTAAAGTAAAGATCGCCCGCTTACTTTGAGATCAAGGTGTGCTACCTTCCAGCCGTGCAAGTACTGGAGAGCTTCGAGGATATCTCGGAGGTATAAAGCCACCTTCTCCTCAGTCAGGTTCCCCCAGCTCACGATGTAGTCCAGGAAGCGACCCTGGTCAGCCCTGACAGCGGACAAAAACACGTCATCGGTCACATTATCATCAGCTTATACATTAAACCGAGGTAAATACACAGTACTTACATCTCCAGTACAAGGACGTAGCTGTGGGCTGTCTCGTAGGTGTCCAGCAGTCTGACCAGGTTTGGATGGTCCAGAGTCTGGAGGAGTCGGATCTCCTGCAGCACCTGCTCTCGACACAGCAGCTTCTTGTTGACGTGTTTTGCTGCGATGGTGCGTTTACTGCCTCTCTGGTCACAACGCTTGGTCACTGAGAATCGCCCCCTGGAAAAACAAAACAAAAAAAAACAAAAAAACTGAGGAGAGTCACTGCGATGTTTAATAATACGTTTGCACTGACTCTGATGCGGCGGAATAGGTTCGCGATGCTGGCTTACCTTCCAAGCTCAGTGATCTCTGTGAAGTAAGACTCAAAACTACTTTTCCAGATGTCTTCGCTGCCGTTATTAGGAGCTGCAGAAGACATTCACGTACAGTTTTTAGACTCTGTCAGTTACGAAACGCTGTAAAAAAAACAAAACAAAACAAAACAAAACAAAACAAAAAGAAACTCAGTGAAACATTGAACCACGACGCAAGTCTCACCTGACACCGTGAGGCCGGCGGAGGAGGTGACGGTGCCCGCTACGTTGGTGGCCACACACGTGTAGACGCCGCTGTCCTCGAGAGACACTCGCAGGACATGCAGGGATGCCTCTCCTGTCTCACTGCGGTGACCCAGAGTCAAAGGGCAGCAGAGCATGAGGCACGCTTCGGACATCAGAACCACGCTGACCTAAGGCGGGGTCGTACCTGTACGTGACGCTGTAGTGTCCGTTGTTGCTCAGAATGCTATTGTCGGGTCCACGCCATGAGACAGCGGCGCGAGGTCGGCCACACACCTTACACCTCAGGGTGACGCTGTCGCCACTCTCACATGACGCGTCGCTGAGAGGGATGAGGAACTCCGGGGGGGCTGCATGAAAACAAGAGGTATTTTGTGTTGCCTTTATCTATTCATTTTTTTTTATAAACGGATTGAATTAAATCAGCTTACCATCGTAGATGAAGTTGGGATTCAGAAGCTGAATGGAAAGGAGATAGATCGAGTTCAAATCTATATATATATAAAAACAAAAAAAACAGTGGCAGAGAGTGAATTGATTTGAGCACCGTGGATCTCCTTCTGCTTCCTACCTTGACAGAGACCTTGTTAGCCAGGCCGTCCTGGGACTTGCGGTAGCCGTTTTCCAATTTCCTGCCGTCTTTATCTCTTTTTTCAGACTTTCGACGGATACGCAGCGCAGTGTGCCATGACAGGGATTTTCTACGCCAAAAAAAGGACACAATGTTGAGAATGTTTTAATTTTAAAGATTTGAAAAGGTGTTTGCTTAATAGGCTGTCACAAGTAGAGCTATTGGTTGCCATGACAAAACAAAACAACAACAACAAAAAAAAACTGGCCATGTGAAAGTATAACTGAGAAAAGACTCAAAGCTGGCAATTTTTAGTTTTGGAGAATTTTCATTTTTTTAGATAAGCATTGTTACAAAGGAAGTATTTGCTGACTGCCCTGAATGTAGCTGGGAAACGCTGTGATACCGTTGCCTAATCTCCATGATTGTCAATGTAATTTTTATTTTGTATTTCACTTAGTATTTATTTACTCAGACACGATTACAAGTCAGTATGAAACCTTGGAGAAAATGGCCACAAAATTCTGATTGGTGCGTCACTCGTCAGGTGCTTTTCACATCCTGTTTATACCAAACAAACAAACAAAAAAAAAAAAATCTCTTACTTGATGGTTCCTTCAGGGAGGTCGGGTGTGGTGGAGGATGAGGTATGTCCCAACACGTAGCCAGGGATCCAGCCTTCAGCCGCTGGGGAGTGCTCGTTGGCGGCCCGGTACACCAAGAACATGTTCTGCTGGTTGCTGGCGAGCATTTGGACCACCTCACCCTGCACCACGCTGATCTCATCCTCCTTCACCGCCACATAGTCCTGGGTCACCAACATGGTGGACACACTGCTGCTGCTGCTACTGCTTTCACTCTGCTGGAGAAGAGGATCGTGGAACTTAGCGCACAACTAAACACTCCTGAGAGTAAACGATGTTGAAATGAAAACCTTTGTCAAAGGAAAGTTGGTCAATAAGCCATCGAATGTGTGGTTTTTATTGATGGAAACAGTTTATTGAATGCATGCGGCTACAACAGCATTGCAAAATCCCTTTCTTTTTTTCCCGAAAGAAAAAATTAAATTAAATCTTGCAATTGCACAGATGTTATCATTCAAAAGCGAGGTTCAACAAGTCATGACACAGAAGTGGTGACCCTCAGGTGAGAGGCGCTGAAATGTTCAAATGTTTTTTTTTTGTTTTTTTTTGCACTACAGGAATAAAAACTAAAGCGACAAAAAGAAGGGTTGGATACAGAAGAGACGATGAGAAAAACAGAGTTGTTGCAGACGTGCTGTCCGACAGCTCCCTGATCAGTCAGATCATTGGTTGTCGCTTGTCACGCAGAAGAAAGAGAGAGAAAGTGTTGCTTTGCGCCCTCTGAGAAGTGTCTGAAAGTCACAGTTGAAAAGCAAACACCAAGTGCAGAGAGAGCGTCTCACAAAGCAGATATGACAGGAGCCCTGTGAGTCAGATCTGTTAGTAAACTCACGGAGAGCACCAAGTATTCTCCACTACCACTGTCAGTGAAGTTAGTACACGCCGGTCGGTAGATGTTAATCTCCTGTCAGTGTTTCAGTAGTTGTAGTTGTAGTTGCATGTTGAAGCCATTCTCAGAGCCAGCAGCAGGCAGGGTGGCTGGTTGAAAGCCAGTCAGTAAGTTAGGAAGTGGTTAATGACTAGAGAGGAGCGCCGAGGCTCCTTAAGAGTTGTGACCTCGTCTTGGCGTCTTACCCCGTTGCTCTGGGTGGATGTTACCGACTGCTCACTGGTGGAGGAGCAGGTGCTCATTCTGTCTGTTTCCTTACTGTGGCCGGAGTTGCGGAGGAAAGGCGGCATTCCTCTGCCCAGGGAGTCCCCACCACCGCTATTGTCACTGGGGAAGGAGAAGGAACCGGGCTTGCCGGCTGGAGAGGGAGGCATGGGGGGAACGACAGCCCAGAAAGGATTCCCTTTATGTGCCGGGCTTGAAGGGACGAACGGTTCCTTTCCTCCTCCAGGGGTTTGAGGGGATATAAGCGGGGAAACTGTCCCAACTCGAGGGCTTCTGAGGGAAAAACTCAGAGGAGCCACTGGCATCTGTGGCACTGCAGTTTTTTGATGTGTCTGGGTTTCCTCGTACGCCCCAAAAGTTTGTCTCAGACCCCCGTCCGTGTTATCTGCCAGCCTGTTACTGTTATTATAGTTACTCCCTTGCGAACTGTCCGACCTCTTCAGAGTGAAGACCTCAGAGGCCAGCAGCTCTCCATTTGTCGGGCTGTCTGAATACGGGTAAGAGGGAAGGGGCGGGTGGCTGGGGGACCACATACCTGCTGATCTGTCAGGCCCCTCGGGGCCCGGGGGGTGGTGGTGGTGAACGGGCTGGGGGAGTCGTGAGGATGGCTGTGGGATACGAGATGGGCGGGAGCGAGGGCCGCACAGGGAGGAGGAGTTGCCCCCTGATCCTCCAGAGCCACCGCCTCCTCCCCCTCCACCTCCTCCTCCTCCACCCATGCTGGAGGTGCTGTTGGTGCTGCTACCTCCTGTACTGCTGCTGCTACTGCTGGGGGGTCCTCCACCTCCCACGTGGTTCCTCTGGTACTCTATGGGTGACGTTAAAGCTGTGCGACAAAAAAAAAAAAAAAAAAAAAAATTTTTTTTTCTCTTGTTTTTAAGGGCTTTTTAAATTTTTTCCTTT